GAATTCATTCATGTCCCTCCCGACAAACGTGATATTTGATTTGAGGATCTGCTCTAAGCGTGTATTTTTCATGCAATGTTTGATACCGCACGGCGAATGAGAGAACAAAAACTCAGCATTTCCCGGAAACTTAGATACACACGGCAGGTAGCGTCAGAAAGCCGCGTGTTATTCCGGTCACAAAATCCAACACGAGGTTATAGTTTGGTTGTAACTGTTAGTGCTAACTTGTTTACACTCGTTGCAATAGTTTGTTTGATACGAATAAAATACGAACTGAATAAACAAAGAGCACTGGTCGCTCACTTACCAAATCTGTAGAGACAGGACAATCACCAGCAACTAGAGCCGCGTCTTTATTAAGAGGGAAGTAAAGCGAATCTGGATCTCAGCGTTTGCAGATGAGAACAGCTCTCAGGTAAACAATAATCCTCCTTAGACACGTAAGTTATTGTTGTCGCGCGTCGCGTACACTGTAATCCACACGTGAGTCTGAGCTCTCAAAGAGAGAAAATGAAATCGAAACTTAACTGCAGCAAACTATAAAAGCAACACTTCACGCTTGTTTTGCCAACACAACGTGGCGTCTCTGCCATCTACACTCTGACAGTAATGAATATTAATGAAGTTGCACAATAGAGCGCACTGATTGGTTTGATCCAAGTCTTACTCATGCATTAATGCAGCACACTGTAAGACGTAATAAGACTCACTCTGGCACAGGCGTCCAGTCTAAACGCTGGAATACACGCTATTATGTCATGCCCGTGACGCAGCTTCAAAAATTCGTTTCAAACCGGAAGTACGAATTTGCTTGAAATAACGCAAAAACAACCAATTTACACTTTTTAGTGAAATATAGGTGTCCTAATAGTGTTTTTAGCAGTGTGGGACACATATACGACTGTCAACAGCTCAAAAAATGTGTTTTGGTGTTTCGTGACCCTTTAAAGATTTGCAAATGACAAAACTGTGGTATTGGTGTCTCATGTCATCATATAAAACAGGGGTCACCAGTCTCGTTTCTGGAGGTCCGGTGCCCTGCAGGGTTTAGCTCCAACTTGCCTCATCACACCTGCCTGGGTGTTTCAGATATACCTAGTAAAACCTTGACTAGCTTGTTCAGCTGTGTTTGATTAGGGTTAGAGCTAAAATCTGCAGGACACCGCACCTCCAGACCTCCATGAAACAAGTTTGGTGACCCCTGAAATACAATAATGCAGCCAGCTATTATACAAGCATCCATCAGCTAGTAATTCAATTGTTTTGTGAAGAGTGTAACTGACCAAAATAATTACACTTTCAATATATATTCTCCAAAAACTCTCAAAGATGATTCCAGATATATAGTTTTTTAATAACTGTCTACAAGAGGGTTTTCCTTTTGAGTACATAACTGACTAGAACAAATGCCTTTTTTAATGATCATTTGGGTTTTTATCACACTGACAATAGTATACGTATTCATTTTATTTGTGCTTTTTGAATTTAATTTTAAAGCCTTTATTTGCTTGACCTGGAAATTTGTAAAAAAAAAATTAAATACTACACATTTCTACAAATATATCACATATAACTTACTACAAACAGTTGTATTTGTTTAGTTATTTAATTTATTGTATGCTGCTACCACCTAGTGGTCGTTTGTGCTCATAATTATCACTTTTCTGTCTTGTGCACACAGGAGAACAAGGAGACAGGAATGGAGAGGGTCATCGATAGTGTGGCTTTGTTTAAGTGAGTGTCCCTAAATAAAGTCTGCATTAATATTGTGCTATATTAATATTGTGTAATATAGTGGTGTATTGGTCTGTTTGTAATCCTCTGTCGATCCTGCTGTACAGGAAGCCTGGCGTGACGGGTAGAGGACTCTATAAACTCAGACCAGAGTGTGCCAAGATGTTCAATCTTTACTTCCACCATTACTCCAGAGCTGACCAGTCTAAGGTAAAAGTTCAGTCACTAGTTCTAGTCAGTAGATATTGTTGCGTTATCTTTTAGCTGTCAGTGCTAAGACACTTGTACAATGATTTTAGTGTGTTTTACATTTAAGCTATTTTATAGTCTTATGATTTGATTAGATACAAATTTAAAATAATATAGTCTTACTGCATATTTAATTTGGAGACTAGATATGTTTTGGTGCTATAATTATATGGTGTATTAAATGAATTGTATTTTGCATCGATTTATTTTGATGTGTTGTTTGTTTATCCAGAACACTCTCCAAAATGAAATTACAAATCTCAAGAGTTTCTCCTGGTAAAATAAAGGTTTAGATGAATGAATAAATGAAAATGTGTGTGAAAGTGAAAATGTTTTGCTTGATTTTATTCTCTTGATATTTGAGTTTATAAAATAGCTTGATCTTAAGTTTTTATTTTTTCGTTAGATTAGTTCCATTTTTGGCTTTAATACTGACTTGTCTAATGTAGATGCACAGTATATATTATTGTAAAGAATCAAATAGATAATATGGATTTAAAAAGGAGATCTGTAAGGGGTGCACTCATTTATGGTGAGCAATGCAAGTTAACATAAATAAATAAACAACTTTTTGTTTTTCTGTTTTCAGGCTGAAGAAGCTCAAAGAAAAATAAAGAGGCAAAATGGGGAAGATTCAGGTACTGCGATGATTACCGTTTTAAATAGCCAGTTCTTAAGTGTTTTTTTTGTCATTGTATTTGATTAAAGGTGCAGTAGGTGATCTGTATAAATGCTAACCAATTAGCCTCATATCTTTCAATTACAATCCCTGACCTGTCGTCCAAAGCCACGCCTTCTGAACTCGCGAACGTGCACATTAAAGCTGGCAGAGACCCAAAAGATCATGTCGTTCGCCAGAATGTTAGAAAACTTTATAGTACTTCATAATCTTACAATTCTGTATGAAAAACTGTCTTGTATCAAGCATGTTTTCAGTTATGAAGTTAGCAAAACTTGCTAACTCTTCAGTCTCACATGAGTTGTTCTAAAGCGACTACTGGATGCTTGGTGATTGGCCGGCGGCATGCAGGAGTTACACTTAATACTAAGCCATAATTGCATGCTATTTCAGACCGAATATTCAGAGTAGCATGGTGAACAATATAGGGAGCGCGTCACAGGTTGTCATTGTTCAAAAATGAACCAATGTGAATATAAAACCAACTTGACCTCAGTAAAGCAGGCTAGGCAGAATAGCGCTATTAACTGATGTTTTGTTGTTAAACTAAATAAAAATCTACATTATAGATGCTGTAAAACGTACCTCATCAGGGTTTCTGCGGGGTCTTAAAAAGTCTTAAAATGTCTTATCTTAAAATCCAATTTTTAGGCGTTAAAAAGTCTTGAATTTACTGAAATATTGTGTTGTAGGTCTTAAATTTATTTTAGAACTGGTCTTTTTTTTTCCTTTCTTCATGTATTGCTACCAAATCTGGCCAAAACCCATACAATCATCAACAATCATCTCAATAAAACGTTAAACTTTTTATTTAAAAAGGTCATTTTTAACTTTATCATAATGGATTAATTATTTTCCGTACAATAACATTTGTTTAAAAGTTCTCCATGTATTTACTGCTGAGGACACTGACCTGAACAGATAGTTGTGCATAAATTTAGTTTATTATAGTTTTTAAAACTTTTAAAAGATTTGTTTATTTTTCTTTTATTTTAAAGAAAGTTTATGTTGTAAAACATGTGTATGGATACAACTAGACCTTGCTTGTATTTATACAATAGTTAAAATATTTTGCAAAAAATGTAATGTATTTTATTTTATTATTATTATTATTATTATTATTGCTATTATTAAATAATAATCATGTACTATTGTATTATTTAATGTATTAAATAACTAAAAAAAATTATAGGGTAAATAAAAGTCTTTTCCATCTGGGTAATTTGAAAAATTTCTTAGTCTTCAGCCCTTTATAAGTCTAAAATTCCATTCATAATGGTTTTAAAAATGTCTTAAGTCTTAAATTTAACTCTGATACCTGCAGATACCATGCTTACGAAATTCTGAAATTCAAAATTCTGCGCAGAGGAGCAAAAAATGTCCGCAGATTCCGTCTGACCCTAGTTATGATGTAATGAGAAACTGAAGTATGAAATGACCTGAAAAAAATCGTTGATCCATTTAGGCGAAGGTGACAAACTACAAGCTTTGGATGTTTATATCAGTTTTATATCTTCTAAACAGGAATGTATACCACACTAGCTTGTAGATAACCTTAAGACTAACAGACTCATATCAATGTTTGTTGTAGTTCTGCCTCCACCAGTCCTGCCTCGCTTCTGTCCGCTGTTTGCCAGTCTGGTGAACATCCTGCAGTGTGACGTGCTGCTGGGCATTCTAGGAGCTGTTCTGCAGTGGGCAATGGAGCCTAGTGGAGGACACTGGTCTGAGTCCATGCTTCAGAGGGTACGGCAGAGTCTGTGGTTTTACAATTATAGAACAATTTATTTATGTTTAGTATGGCAAGTCAAATTGCATACTTGTCCACTTGCCTAATATGTTAAAAAATAAACATTTATGTGTGATTGTTTACTAATTTTTGCACTGTGATCTTAAATTATTATTATTATTTTTTGCTAATATAGTTTTATAAAGTTTCTAGTACTGAGCAACGATATGAAACATCACAGTAGTGTGTGTCCCACAGGTGCTGCATCTCATTGGGATGGGGCTGGTGGAAGAACAGCAGCATCTCATCAGCAGCGCAGAAGACTATAATGATACCAACTTCAATTTCACTCTCAAAATCTCCAGTATGTCTCTTGCATCATATAGTCATACACTCACGTACACACAAACACACCTTTGTGAGCTATATTGAACTAATCTGTTGACTGCAGGACCCGGCGAGGCTCCTGCTAACACTGCCAGCATCTTGGCTTTACTGGAGACGCTGCAGAACGCTCCTCATCTGGAGGTGCACAAGGACATGATCCGCTGGATCCTCAAGGTAAAGCTGATCAAAAGCTCATTACCAAGCCACCTGTTACTGGAATGCATCTGTGCGTGCGTGTGTGAGAGAATATCTCAGGTGTCCAAAAGGTGGCAGCAAAAAACCTCAGTCCAATTTGTGCACTGCTTGATGCTTTTATTTAGGCATGCATTTTATTTATACATTAAGGTTTCCGGATGGAGTTAAAAGAAGTGTTGGGCTACAATAAATCACGATTAATCACATCCAATGTAAAAGTTTGTTTTGACTTAATTTATGTGTGTGTTATATTTATTATGTATATACAAGTACATGCATATATTTAGAATTTTTTTTTGTTTATATATATATATATATATATATATATATATATATATATATATATATATATATATATATATATATACACACACAGTTGAAGTCAGAATTATTAGCCCCCCCTGTTAATTTTTTTTCCTCAATTCCAGTTTACCTTAGCAGGTTAGGGTAATTAGGCAAGTTATTGTATAATGATAGTTTGTTCTGTAGACTATCGAAAAAATAAATAGCTTAAAGGGGCTAATAATACTGACCTCAAAATTGCTTTTAAAATTGTTTTAACTGCTTTTATGCTATCCTAAATAAAACAAATAAGATTTTCTCCTTAAGAAAAAATATTATCAGACATGCTGTGAAAATTTCTTTGCTCTGTTAAACATAATTTGGGAAATATATATATATATATTTATATATATATATATATATATATATATATATATATATATATATATATATATATATATATATATATATATATATATATATGTGTGTGTGCGTGTGCGCGTGTGTGTGTATGCATACACCGTGCTCAGCATATATAAATACACCTCATTTTAAAAATGAATATTTTTATTAAAATGTATATTTATTAAAATAATATTTTAGTCACAAAACATCTGTAGAAATGGAAAGATAATACAGTTAAAATTGTGCAAAAAAAATTGCAAACTACAACATTTCAACTAAATATTTTTTTGCTTCTCTTAATTTTTGCTTTTTTTTTGAAAATGTTATTTAATATTCTTCCCGAACATATTCATTTGGGTCTACCCATTTTTGAACCAACATTGTAAGATCATTTTGTAGAAAAGCTCCAGATTATAATAATTATAATATAATAATTATAATAATTCTTATTATATATTTTCTATTATTTGTCATTATTAATATCATTGCACTAATTACTTTTTATTTTTTTAATTACTAACTACTTTAACATTTTATTATATATTAATCAACACTTTTCTCAAACAAGATCTCACATCTAGTAGTTAAAAAATGTTTTAGCAATAAAATATTGTAGAGTAAAGCATCAAATGAAAACTCAAATATATGCAAAAATTGTAAAGTGATTGAGTTGAACACGAGTTCATTTTAAATGAAATGCAAGCAAACATTTAGAAATAATCATAGAAAATAATTATTTATTGTTTTATTTTTTTTATAATTAACTGGTGGGTTTGCTATTTTACTTATAATATTTTATTTCTAAAACACTTTTTTTTTTGAACCACAAAATGTCAGATTTTATTTGGAAAAGGTGTTGATTTATTTTGTGTGTGTGTGTGCAGACTGTGGCCTACATCAAAACCACGCGTGAGTGCACAGCCAGTGCGCCCCCCAGTGACAGCTCAGGGCACAGTCAAGAGGAGGTGAGCATAGGAAGAGCAGCACATGGGTTAATAAAATTATTAAAGTTGCAGTGTTGTCTGACTGCATGCGTTTGCATGTGTAGACGGTGCGGGATAAGGAAAAGGCGGAGCGGAAGAGGAAAGCGGAGATGGCGCGACTCAGGAGAGAGAAAATCATGGCTCAGATGTCAGAGATGCAGAGACACTTCATCAACGAGAACAAAGAGTTGTTCCAGCAGAGCCTGGAGGACCTGGACCCCTCCACATCCTCCACGCTGGAGCACAGGTACACAAGTTTATTGCTTGTTTTAATATATTATTTAACTGTGTATAATTATGTATGTTCAATTCATGTTAATTAGCATCGTTATTATTATTATTATTATTATATGATCATAATAGCATATAAATGGGTAATATTTAGCAAAATAATAATAATAATAATAAATGCAACTAATATATAGTAAAATAATAAATATTAATAATATTACAACATTTGTATTCATAGTTTTATTTTATTTATGATTAACTGCTGGATTTCTGTATTTGCCTGCATTTGTCTATGCATAAATTTATGTATATGCATTTGGGTGGGTTCTTTAAAGAGTTAACCTAAGTATAAACCCAAACATTATTTTTGTTTAGCCTTAGAAAAGCCTTCTTTAGTTTAAAATAATAATTAAAATATATATGTATTTATTTATTTATTGTTTTTGATTTTAAAAAAGTAAATAAACTTCAAAAACAAAATTGATCATGTAGTGGAAATGCCATGGCTCAGACTTTATTAAGTGTTTCCTCCACAGCCCCAGCTCGTGTGACAGTGCTCTGGTGTGTGTGGGCCCGCGGCGCTGGCGAGCAGGTGGCAGCGACCGCAGGCAGGTGGTGACATGTATCCTGTGCCAGGAGGAGCAGGAGATCCGTAGCGACGGCAAAGCCATGGTCCTCGCTGCATTCGTCCAGCGCTCCACTGTCATGTCCAAAAACCGCAAGAGACCACCACACAACCCAGGCATGTCCTTCATGCTTGTCTGTGTCCCCTTTACTGCACCATGTATAGTTATTAGCCCTCCTGTGGAATGTTTTAATATTTCCCAAGTGCTGTTTAATGGAATTAATTTTTTCAACACATCTGCAAACATATAATAGTTTTAATAACTAATTTCTTTTATATTTCCGATGGAGACCGTACATAATATTTTTCTAGTATGCTTGTGATCAACTTAAAGGTGCTGTATGTAAGTTTTAGACACCCTTAAAGCATAAAATACCATCATATGTTTGCAGATATTTAAGAAACATGCTTAGTGAACATTCCTGTTTATCTGAAAAACATTGCTGAAGTCAGATATTCTGCTTTGAAAATGTGCATTACAGGAATATCTGTCTTGTTTTGGTCCCTTTGACCTGCCCAATGCCTCTTTAGCCAATTATATTACAGCATCCGGGTTGCCTTAATAGAAAAGAGTGAAATTTGTTCAGCCAGTCAGGAAGGCTCTCGAAGTACGCATCTGTGACCGAAATTGCAGCTTCCGGTGGACAGTAACAGACTCAAGTGAGACACAGATTTAGAGTTCCACCTGAGTTTATTAATAAGCAAATAATATACATTGTATGAATGTAAACATTAGGTGAGCAGGATAAGGTGTAACCCTGTGTCCTAACAACAAACTAAGTGATGATATTTGCTGTGATAGAAGCAATTTGCTTGGTTGCACCAGACGCAACACGACAGAAATGTAAATGCAGCCATTCAGAAGCACAGAATCGTGCACTCACTGCACTCCTACGAAAGGTTTTTACTCTAGTTAATACATATTAAACCTCTTTAACGTTATATGTGTTTGTTTGAACTGAGTCACAGATCTGAAGCTCAATGTCAAGCGGTTTTATTTTATTTTCAAGATCTAAGGTGAACTATCTGCTGCTGCTTTCAGTAGTATGGCAATAAATGTCATGTAAAATGTTAATAAATTGCTTTTATTTAAAACATGATTTCAATCAGTCTTGGCTCAATAGTCAGGCACGATGTTGATGTTGTCAATCTGGCGTTGTCAGAGGAGGTGCAGAGTGAAAATGTTGAAATCAGAAGTGCAATACCTAGTTCAACCACTGAGTGTCAAACTGGCATTCTGCACCTTTAAAGCACAACTTAAATGCTTAATTAGTTTAATTAAATTAACTAGGCAATTAAAATGCTAATAATATTGACCTTAATGTTTTTTTTTTTTTTTTTTTTTTAACTGCTTTTATTCCAGCCAAATTAAAGCAAAAAACATCATCAGGAGGAAAAAAAACTATAGGAAATACTGTGAAAATTTCCTTGCTCTGTTAAACATAATTTGGGAAATATTTCAAGACAATACAAATTTCACAGCAGGGCTAATCGTATTTGAGTTTGTGTTACTGAGTGCAGTGGTGTTTGTGTTGCAGATAAATATGACCCCCTGTTCATGCACCCCGACCTGTCGTTCGGCACACACACGGGCAGCTGTGGACACATCATGCACTCGCACTGCTGGCAGAGGTGAGAATTATTTCTGAATAATGAGAATCTTAGTTCCAAGATGTAGTTTTCCTATTCAATATTAAATTGTTTCCACCTATTGTGGGATTTATATAATCTAGAACACAAAAAAGAAGTGGAGTGTATAAAGATTTAACAATTTAAGAGTATAACCTCCTAGGGCCGTTTGCACCAGCAGTGTCCAAGTTAAAATTTTGCCTAGTTGAGACTTAAAGTGTCACTACGTTTCAACTTACACTAATAAATATTTTTGTTTTGCACCACTGGACTTATGCCCCATTCACACGGGGCTTCAACGTCAACGCTTCCCATTCGCTTTGAATGGGTGACGTCAGGCGTTGCTGAACTGCATTGTGGATCCGTCGGCGCCGCTTTAGAGGCATTGCTTGCGGCAGAAGTTGGGACAAGCTCGACATTTCAAGCGCAGACGGAAGCGTCAGCCAATCAGATCACTGTATGCAAATACACCAGCTAGACAGTGGCCTATTGCTGACTGAATTTCATTGGCTGACGCTGCTGTGACGATCGCGTTAGCCCCAACTTCAGACACGCCTTCAGTCAAGCATTGACGCTGAAGCTTCTTGTGAACGGGGCGTTAGTTTAAACGTAACACTAGGTCCCGACTAAATATTTATAATGTATTATGGTTGAAGAGAGATGACTGCGAGATTAGTTTACATTGAGGAGCTCACGATAATATTAAAGACAAGAATGTGTGCAGTTCTAGTTTTAGGACAACTTTAATGATATTCCACTTTTACTTTTATTTTATTTGCACATGCATTCCCCAACAAAATGACGGGACTCAGTTTATTTTCCCCTGTTACTGTGCAGTCCTAAAGTATCTCTATGATATCGTCATTGCTAAGCCTTGTAACTGTATATGTTGTCTCCCCCTGCAGGTATTTTGAGGCGGTGCAGGCTAAAGAGCAGCGCAGGCAGCAGAGGCTCCGTGTGCACACTAGTTATGACGTGGAGAACGGAGAGTTTTTGTGTCCACTCTGCGAATGTCTGAGTAACACAGTCATTCCTCTGCTGCCACTCACTAAGACCTGCTGCAGGTAATGCAACAAACACACACTTTGACCTCCAGCTCATGCTTTTTACTATTCATTTGAGTTAGTGTAATACAACGTTTCTCAATCCTGGAAAATTCTCTGATTTCCTAGTGAGTTAAGTTTGCGTGTAAAAGTTACTTGTGTGCACGTGGTACGTTCTACACTCACCGGCCACTTTATTAGGTACACCTTACTTTTACCAGGTTGGACCCCTTTTAACTTCAGAACTGTCTTTATTCTTCGTGGCATAGATTCAACAAGGTACTTGAAATATTCCTCAGAGATTTTGCTCCATATTGACATGATAGCACCACGCAGTTGCTGCAGATTTGTCAGCTGCACAGTCATGATGTGAATCTCCCGTTCCACCACATCCCTAAGTGACTCTATTGGATTGATTTTCTGGTGTCTGTGGAGGCCATTTGAGTACAGTGAACTTATTGTCATGTTCAAGAAACCAGTCTGAGAGGATTCACGCTTTATGACATGGTGCGTCATCCTGCTGGAAGTAGCCATCAGAAGATTATAAAGGGATGGGCATGGTCAGCAAAAATACTCGGGTAGGCTGTGACATTGACACAATGCTAAATAGGTACTAATGGGCCCAAAGTGTGCCAAGAAAATATCCCCCACACCATTACACCACCACCACCAGCCTGAACAATTGATAAAGGCAGGATGGATCCATGCTTTCATGTTGTTGAGGCCAAAGTCTGACCCTACCATCTAAATTTTGCAGCAGAAATGGAGACTCATCAGAGCAGGCAACGCTTTTCCAATCTTCTTTTGTCCAATTTTGGTGAGCCTGTGTGAATTGTAGCCTCAGTTTCCTGTTCTTGAGTGGCAACCGGTGTGGTCTTCTGCTGTTGTAGCCCATCCGCCTCAAGGTTGGACGTGTTGTGTGTTCAGAGATGCTCTTCTGCAGAGCTCGGTTGTAACGAGTGCTTATTTGAGTTACTGTTGCCTTTCTATCAGCTGGAACCAGTCTGGCCATTCTCCTCTGACCTCTGGCATCAACAAGGCATTTGCACCCACAGATCTGCCGCTCACTGGATATTTCCTCTTTGTCGGACCATTCTCTGTAAACCCTAGAGAGGGCTGTGTGTGAATCCATGTAGATCAGTAGTTTCTGAAATACTCAGACCAGCCCCTTTGGCACCAACAACCATGCCACATTCAAAGTTACTTAAATCACCTTTCTTCCCTGTTTGAACTTGTCTTGACCATGTCTACATGCCTAAATGCATTGAGTTGCTGCTATGTGATTGGCTGATTAGAACCTTGCGTTAACAAATAGTCGGGCAGATGTACCTAATAAAGTGGCCGGTGAGTGTATATTGCTACACTGCTGGCAATAAACAGCAGAATTGTCTTAATGTAACAGCACATTTATGTCAAAATATGTGAAATCGGAGAACTTAGAGTTTTTATTTGTCGTCGTTGTTTGTTGCAGCTCTGAACAGCCTGATCTGAGCCAGTGGTTAAACATCACCTCTCATCAGATGAAAGCCCTGATCTCTGCTCACAGGAAGTCCAAAACCAGCAGTGAGTAATAACAGTACTCAAACACTCTTAGAACGGCTTGATGTTGACCGAGTCTGCGGGCTAGTTTGGGTTGTTTGACTAGTGTTTTGAATGCATCTCTGCAGGTGCTGAAGCTGCTGATGAAACAGACGGTGTCAATGACTGTCCACCACCTGATGGCTTCAGACTAGATCACACTCCAAAGTAAGACCACAAGACTAACAGTCGTCCATCCATAATGCACTTCAGAAGTAACTTGTTAACCCTTTCATGCCTACAATCACAGCAGGGTGATTAAAATGATCAGAACCTGCTAAAACTCAAATCTGACGACATAGAGTGCGCCGAGCTTGTCCTAAATCACAATTTATCTGTGTTTTTCAACAAATAACATTTACACCGTATCCTAACAACACTTATTTGTCTGTCTTTACCAAACGCAATGCGAGATTACATGACCGAAACAGTTAAATACATATATATATATGTGTGTGTGTGTATATTTTATATATGTGTGTGTGTGTGTGTGTGTGTGTGTGTGTGTGTGTGTGTGTGTGTGTGTGTGTGTGTGTGCGTGCGTATAGTATATGTATGTATATGTATGTATGTATGTATGTATGTATGTGTATATATATATATATATATATATATATATATATACTAGCAAAACATAACATTCCAAATAATCTGTGAAATACATGCTGTTGTCTATGGAGTAGACAATAATACTGATCATTTATAAATATAACTGTACGATGTTCTTTATTCATATAAGTTACACACTGTTTAGGTTACTAGATGTACACATACTCTATTCCAGTGTTTCTCAACCACGTTCCTGGAGGACCACCAACACTGCATGTCTGCTTTCAGTCTGTGTTAATGAGCTAAATCAGGTGTGCTTGGTTAACGAGACAAGGAAAATGTGCAGAGCTGGTGGTCCTCCAGGAATGTGGTTGAGAAACATTGCTCTTTTCCACCCCCAGTTAAACAGCTACTTGTGTTTATGTATTTCGGAAGAAAATTAAGTTTTTTAAATGCAGCAGTTCTGATCTCAAGCAAGAGTAAACTTGACGGCACCCATCACCAGTCATTTATCCAATAATATAATTAATATTAAGCTGTTTAATAGATAAAACGCATGTTCTTACCAAGCGGCAACCTCCGCTCTTCCTCGGGAGGCCAATATGGAAGTAACTTAAACTGCAATTCATCGAAATTCCGCTAGTCCTGGCTCCATAATAGAGCAAAGTTTAACTGAGCTCACTGTTAGAATGGCCAACTTTACAGCAGAAAAAAAAAGTGTTTACAGCCTGGTACAAAGAACGGTTTTGGTTCATACAGGTTATATTACCCTTCATGACAACTGTGAGGGGGGTGAATTTTTTTTTATAACTCACCAGCTTCCTTTATATTAAGTTATATTAAGTTTGCATAATTAAGGGAGTGGCCACTTGATTGACAGTTAGGTCTCGCTGGTCACCATCACGTCACCTCAGCTGACTCCGGCCGATTAGCCACTGAAATCAGCATATTCATCCTATTTTGTTTTGTTTTATGTGGCTTTACACAGTCAGTTGCCTTTTGGGATTATTTCCTACAATTATCAGATGATATGGGATGCTGTATGCACTTAATTGGGCTCACAAACCATTCACGGGGCCTCCGTTTCCCATGTGAGTAAAGTTATATACTTGTAAACCATCTTTATAAATGTATTTGTTTTATTTAAGATCATTTATAATGTTCTTTAGAGCTGTAATGCACTGCAGAAACTGACGGATTGATTAGCTGTGGACTGTAGAACAGTCATCTGAAGCGTTGTCATACAGTGTTATGCTGGATTTCATCAATAGTCTTACATTTACTAACACAGACTATATCTGAAGTGTTTGGAAGTAATTCGCGTTTTCCTCCTGTTGAAAAACGTCATAAGAACAATACTTATTGGCTTAATGTATTACTACAGTATTTTTAAAAGTCTAAACACTTTATTGATATAGTATACAACCAAGCACATGTGGTCAGAACACAAACGAGTCGCAGGTGATAAAGTATTAAGCATTTCTCCCAAAGTAAAGTGTGTCTAAGCCAGGTCCAAGCAAAATGCCAGCAGTGTCTGAAGCTCTGCTCACTCTCCGCCTCTTTGCCCTTGTTTGGTATCCCGCCGTCGGTGTGATGACGCGCCAACAAAATGGGGATGGTTGGCCGCGCCTACTTGTGGCTTCTTTTGCGCTCTTCAGAAACCTATGGGTGACGTCACGGACACTACGTCCATATATTTTACAGTCTATGGTACTTGCATATATTTGAGAATTGGAATATCAAATATTTCAGAATATAATTGGCCTGTTTGTCAGTATTTGAAGAAAAGGAAAAAAAGGCAAAACACAATATATACATAATTCATTGGGGCTGCGGTGTCACGTGATAAACTTATAAAACCAATAAAAGCATGTTTTTACTCATCAGAAATCCATATTCAAGCACCATAAAGGAGATGCTGACTACGTTTGGGACAGCCACGTATAAAGTGGGTCTGAAAGTGCACCCGAATGAGCAGGACCCCCGAGTGCCAATCATGTGCTGGGGCAGCTGTGCCTACACCATCCAGTCTATAGGTCAGTCCAAGAAAACTTTTGCTTATATAATACAACAAGCCTTCGAACTGTACAGTAGATCAGCGCCAGCACCATTTAATCTGGAAAAATTACAATTCTCTGTTTTGAAAAATGATCAGGATATTTTTATATTTCTTATGCAATGTTACTTAATTCTAGCCTTTATTTTGTGTTGAAGCCTGTTTTCTGCTGGGGGATTACTCAAATCACATCAAAAACATACCTCTAGTTTTAAGAAATTGCATTGAAAATTGAAATTCAATTCAAAGAAACAAGCTTATAGCTGCCAAACAGAAACTTATTTGCAACTTGTCAAAATACCTCTCGATGCAAAAAGCAGATAAATCAAACCCGCTTCGAATTTTTTATGACGGTCGAAAGTTTCAGAGGCTGTGTGTTAATACGATTCACACAACGTGAGATCAATTTTATTTTTGTACATTGCAAAATTTCCGGGCAAAAATTTGAGATTTAGTATTATATAATATAGGTAGTACAGTATATGTGTATCCATTCATTCTCTCCTACATCATCGTTTTCCTCTTAACTATCAAATTGATTATGATTTGAACCATTGAAGTTGTAACTTGTAAACATTTTCATCTCTTGTCACAGAGAGATTACCGGTGATTCCGTTTTCTGCCAAGGAATCACTCGCATACATAAGTAAAAATAAGGGTTACCTCTAATTTTAAGAAATTGAATTGAATTGCAAGAAGAAAATGTGATTTTTAAATGTTTTTTCCCCTCTTAAAATGTAAAGATCCAAGTTTATAGCTGCAATATAAAATCAACAACTTTCTCAAAATTGAGAGATTGGAGTCTAAATGTGAATTGTGAAATGCAACGTCACTGATAGTGAGAGTCTAAATTATATAGTAAAGGTAGTACAGTATGTGTGTATCCATTCATACATTTCTACATCATCTATTTTTCCCTTTTAACTATCAAGTAAATTATGAGTTTGAACTATTGAAGTTGTAACTTGTAAAAATAAATAAAACAATTAAGTTTAATTAGCATCTCTTGTCACAGAGAGATTACTGGTGGTTCCTTGTTTTCTGCCACTTAAATAAATAAATAAAAAATGGGTTATGTCTAATTTTTAGAAATTGAGTTGAACATTGAATTGCAAGGGGAAAAAATCAACTTTTACTTTCAAATTCAAAGAAACTATCTAGAAGTTGGGGTTTTAAGTGCTTAAGTAAAACAAGTTTCATTATCATGTGTTTTGTCACAGAGAGATTACTGGTGGATGAAGAGAAGCCTTTGTTTGGAAGTTTACCATGCAGACAGGTAACCGAACACATTTGAAATATTATCTAAACTTTTTGTGTAATTGCCAAAGCAAATGTTCTACTCCATCCAAAGATCGACTCTTATTTGTGAATGTTTTGTTCGCACAGGACGACTGTTTGAGTTCTCTGACGCGGTTTGGCTCTGCCTGCTGGACAGTCTCCTCTCATACCACTGTACAGAATCACTTCATCAGGCTCTTAGCAGGTAGGAGATAGCATTGCGGTTTCCTGCTGCAGTATAGCTGCTCTGGCATTTAAATATTTCCCAAATGATGTTTAACAGAGCAAAGAATTTTTTTCACAGTATTTCCTATAATGTTTTTTCTTCTGGAGAAAGTCCTGTTTGTTTTATTTCAGCTAGAATAAAAACTGTTTTAAAAATTTTTAAGATCAATACTATTAGCCTTATGTAATATTTGTTTCAGAATGGTTACAGAACAAACCGTCATTATGTAATCGTTTGCCTAATTACCATAACTTGCCTAATTACCCTAGTTAAGCCTTTAAGTGTCACTTTAAGCGGAATACTAGTATCCTGAAGAATCTCTAGTCAAACATTATGCGCTGTCATCATGGCAAAGAGAAAAGGAATCAGTTATTAGAGATGAGTTATTAAAACTATTATGTTTGGAAATGTCTTGAATTTTTTTTTTATTTCTATTATACAGATATTGAGGGGGGAAATATATACAGGGGGGCTAATAATTCTGACTTCAACTGTATTATGAGGAATTAATAATAATAATAATCATCGTCTGTCCTCATTCAGCCCTTGTTCCTGATCCCCGGGTGGAGAATACCCCTTGTATTCTGGATGTAGACATGTTTCACTTGCTGGTAGGTACTGTAAACAACCAGTGCACTCAATTCACAAGTCCTCATAATCATTTTTAGATGCTTTTTATTTTTATTTATTTTTTATGAAGCATAAATTAAAATAAATAAATAAATGAAACATAAAATAACATCGGAACTTGGTCACATGTGTCCTTTCAAGTCACATTAACAAATACACATACAAATCAGACATAAGCACAATCCATTTCTCACAATATTGCAGGCATTTGACAATTTCCAGGCCTTGAAAAGTTTTGGAAAAACAGTAAAACCCATGAAGTTTTAGAGGAGTCATGGAAGTTTGTTTAACAAATATTTGTATGTTTGAATATTGGTTAGTCATCTTCTCTGTCCTTGGATAATCCCATGGTCTCAAATTATTAGTGCTGTGTAAGCATTATCTAAATATTTTTTACATAGATATAAATTTAGACTAAAGTAGTTAGCGGTTCATTCCGCTGTGGTAAATCAGGAACTAAGCCTAAAGAATGAATGACTGAATGAATGATTGTTGCATGTTTTATGATATGCTGTAATACATTTGAATGTGCATTGTTTTTCTTATTTACCACGTATATGTAGACATTATATGATATATTAGGTCATGAAAGTTTACTTGAAAGTCTTGGAAAAGTCAGCAGTAAAAATGTGTACAAACCCTGTTTCTAGTTTTAAAGAAGGGGTCGGCATCTCCAGCTTTTGAACATTAAATACCATATCAAACTGTTCAGATTTTGTAGAGGGTTTAAGTTGTAGGCACTTTCGAGTCGCAGTGTTCTTACTGCTTGCTAGTAGGTTTGCACGATACTGGAATTCGATACCAATCGATACTGAAATTTTAAAAACGTCCATTTCCCACTAACATGTGCGTTCTTAGGGTGCTTTCACACCTACACTTTTGTTTCGGAACGTATCTCGTTTGCCCAGTTAGCGCGGTTCGATTGGCATATGTGAACAGGGCAATCGTGCTCTGTTCCGCGCCAAAGTAATCGCTCCGAGATCGCCTGAGTGAGGTGGTCTCGGCTTGATTGAAACGAACCCTGGAGCGGTTCGATTGCAGTGAGAAAGCGATCCGATCCGAGCACGGTTATATCACAGTGTTTTATGGATATGTAATAGTCATACGGCTATATGAAGAGAGAATTATGAGTAGCGCGGGAAGTTTCGCGAGTCTCCGGATGCCCGCAAACGAGTAATGATCTCCCGGTAATCTCGCGTCTCCCTCCCGGTCCTCAAACAGGCATCGTCGCGCACCCTTCTCACCCCTCCCCACCGCGTCTCTCCTTAGACACGTCGCGCGCACCCTGTCAATCACCACCAAACCACCACCTCTCCTGACAGCTTAGCGGGACGCTGCAATATAAACCCTGACACTCTGACCAATGTGAGGAGAGTTTACTCACACGTGACTTGTTTTAGCTCTTTTGGTCCGATTAGAAACTTTGCAGTGTGAAAGCGAACCGCTCCAAGAGCAAAGAGAAACAATGTAACAATTGTAATCTCTGTTTCGGAACAACTGAATCGATTCACAGGTGTGAAAGCACCCTTAAACAGCTGGTTTGCCATTGTGTTCATGTGCTCAACAGAAATGACTGTGATTGGCCATGAAGGTCATTAGTTTACTGAATTCACCAATGTTTACTGAGTGTAACCACAGATACAGGGACAGTGGAGCGATTTATCAGCGGATCGCTCGTATGTAAAGTTATAGACAAACCCTCCAGTATCCCTCTATCTGTTTTGTAGGTTTCAGGAGCTCCCTCTGGCAAAGGAGTAAAATGGGGTGGACGGGGGGATTTTTCATAAATGAAGATAAGGGAATTAAGGTGAAATGGGCTATTTATTGTAGGCTCGGATTAATCTGATTGGTTTATCGATGATTGCAGATGAGAGACCAGCTGCAACCAATCATAGCACGTGCTCCTCTCGAAATTAGTTTATAAAACTCTCAGCTTTACATCATAATAGGGAAGCAAAGACTGTCCCATGCTAACTTAAACATATAGCATCGGTGCTCACAGTGTCAGGATGTCTCAATGCAATCGCTCAAGCTGACAAATTGGCAGTATTTTGTCCACATATCCAGTCCTCACGTCTAAACAAAGCGACTTGCAGATTTTTGCATAGTTCCTAGTAAAGTCCCAGCTCAGTCTGTTGTTTTGGAATGACCTCTGACCTCAGCGTATGTGCGTGTGTGGCAGGTGAGTTTGGTGCTGTCCCATCCAGCAGTTCTCTGTCTGGATTCCTCAGGGCTCAGCGCAGATGCTGCACAACTGCACTTCTTGCACCTGATCACGGTCGCTCACGTTGTCCAGATCCTCCTGACCTCTTTACCAGGTGAGAACCGCTGTTTTCTACATATTTAACATAAACATGACCATGATGTCTTTTTACATTTAATGAATTTCATGCAAATGTACACCTTGCCATGAAAAAAGTAAGCATACTCCCTGTGTGAAGCTATGTTTTAAGTTTTTACTGCAAACGTCACATCCAAAGCGCTGGAAATGCTCCTTCTCAGTTTTCAGAGGCAGAAGTCTTGGCATTTCCATTTGTTCATGTTTGTTGTATGTGTGTGTTGTCATCAGAGGAGGTGCGGATGGAGCAGGAGACTGGAGGAGCCGAGAGAGAAGAGGAGGAGAGTGTGTGTTTGCTCTACAATACTCTCAGGAGTCTGCTGGGCCGGTAAAATCATACACTTAATCACAATTAACGCTTTATATCATTCATTCATTCGTTCCTTTCGGCTTAGTTGCTTTATTAATCAGGGGTCGCCACAGCGGAATGAACCACCAACTTATCCAGCATATGTTTTACACAGGAGATCCCCTTCCAGCTGCATCCCAGTACTGGGAAACTTTCAGCTGCATCCCAGTACTGGGAAACATTTTCGCATTCATACACTATGACCAATTTAGTTTATTCAGTTCACCTATAGTGAAACCGGTGGGGGAAACCGGAGCACCCGGAAAAAACCCACGCCAACATAAGGAGCACATGCAAACTCCACACAGAAATGCCAACTGACCCAGCCGGGACTCGAACCAACGACCTTCTTGCTGTGAGGCGGGAGTGCTAACCACTGAGCCACCGTGTCGCCCGCTTTATATCTTAATGATTTATAACATATAGCTTCCTCAAATAGCATATCATGCTGCTAGCACCACCAAGCTCGTGGGTTTGAATCCCAGGGATAGTAAAAAATCCTATGGAGTCAGATTAGTCTCAAATAATAAATTGGCAAAAAGTAAAACTCATATGCACGGCACAATTACGAAATCAAATTGGTAAATTCAAAACACAATTTGTGAAGTAAAAATCATAAATATTTCCCCAAATGAATTGGATTTACGAATTGTCTTAAATTTACAAATCGGATTAGCATTTTTAGCCCTATAAAGATCTGATAAAATGCAAGTAGTTCTTTGCCAGGTGCACAAATGCAAATATATTATTTATTATTATAATTTCTCCTCAATGTGTATTAAAAGTATATAAATGAACATGTAGAAATGAAGCCTGTTTTACACACATTTAAGATAAACTATTTTAAATTAGGTTTTAAACTATATTAATAATCAAATTAGACCTTATATGTGCCACTTTCAGAGATTATCTATTGATAAAAAGAAAAGGTGTCTACTTTGCCCTGCTAGTCCTGCGTGACTGATTTAAGCGGGTCATACATCGGCTGCGCTGTTCAGCACATGACAGTTAAAAGTACTGCACACCAGTTGCACACATTCGCATGTTATTTCAAATGAAACTATTCAGATGGCGCTCTCTGGCGTGGCAGAAATATGAACTGTCCAGAGTCGTAGCAGGGCACCGCAGACAGCCGCCGACTTACAGTGTGCGTACCATGATAGAAACCTATGTATGAATTCTAAAATGCATGGTGCGCGATGCATCTGGTGTGCGACCCCCTTTATACTTTTGCGTCAAGTACACGTATGGTCTGGTGCAGCCTTCACATGGTCGCATAGCCCTTGCTGTGGCTGATGCTGATAAGCACCTCTCAAAAAATTTAACTACACGTCGCAACAACACATAGCGTAAGCTCTGTGATTGGTCGGCTTGGTAGCAGTGAGGAGTGTGGGCGTTGCTGAGAACCACAAGCCCGTTGGAGCGAGTCCTGTGAAAGAGCTTCAGATGGAAACTTTTTTGTGTTTTTACATTATGATTAGGCCAACACGAAATCTGCGCGCACAGAATCCCGCAGATTGTTAGCCCATTATTAATTCTGTTTATTTACTTGAATAAATGTGTAAATCTGAATTTATTCAGTTTTTATTTAGTAATTTATTACTTTTTATTTAATATATTAAGGTGTAAGTTATAATACTCAGCTGGATACTCCCAAAATAATTCAGCAGAAATCCGCAGATTTTTACTACAATTCTCCCCAGAAATAGCAAAAAATTTCCGCAGATTCTATCTGTCCCTACTTATGATTAAAGTTTTTGTAGTCCGCCGGTTCCCGCCTCTGAATGAGCGAGTTTTAGCTTTTAGTACATTTAAGGTAGCCTTCAAAAAAAAAAAAACACCCGTGAAGAAACTCGACACAGAGGAACATAAAAGCCTGCTGCCAGCTAGTGTTTCTGAGTGTTATTGCAGAGCAACACAAACAGCACGCAGAAGTATAAATGCACAGCTACACACAAGGCAGGCACCGTGGGTCACGCCGATCACTCTGAGTATAAATCAGCCTTAATGTAAAATGTGTATGTGTGTGTTTAAGTGGCTTGCGGGAGGTGAGCTCAGGCTGGCATCTGTGGCTCTGTGTGAAAGCTGGAATCCTGCCTTATCTGAGAGCCGCCGCTCTCTTCTTCCACTATCTCAACGGAGCTCCAGCACCACCGGAGTTACACGGTACTGAAATCACATACTCATTGTTATTTTGTACTTTTGCTGTTCCTGGATCATTTGTGATGGTGACTGTGTGTTCAGCTCTAGGTGCGGGTGAATGGGAGGCTCTGTGTGGATACCTGTGTCTGCCTTCCAACCTGCTACAGCTCTACTTCAACAATCTAGACATCATGGAGCCTCTGTTGCATGGGTAAAGTCACATATTTCAGTAAAAATAAAAATCAAGTATTGTTGATGCCAATCGTGCGTCGCCACTTTGGTGCACATTGGCAATACGATGTTCACTGTGACCAGAGTTAAATTCACATCTCTAGGTGCTTTCCCGATCCTTCCCCTCTATCTTTGCTTCCCACACTTTACTGTTTATAATCTCCACTCTCCTATTACAATGTGAAACCCCTAAAAATAATGATATAATAATATATATAGAGAGAGAGGGTGGGAAAAAAGTTTTGAACACGTTTTTTCCTGCGAATAATATTTCTAAAGGAGCTGTTGACATAAAATTGAAGCAGATTTGGGTAAAAACCCAAACAATACAAACATTAAAACAAAAACTTAAACTCTGAAAAATTAGTAATAACAATGTAATAACTACTGAAACGTATTTAATACTTTATATAAAAGACCATTTTAATTATGGAAGATTAAAGGCACCTCTTATATGAAGAATGAAGTCGCATGCAACGCCCAGGTGTGAGTTTATTTTATTTTATTTTATTTTTTTACAGACTTCAACAGAGTGTCAAAATCTTGATGGGTCTGTGGGTCTCGTCTATCAAATCTGAGCTTTTTTTTGTATTTTATATTGAATTCGGGTCAGGTGATTTACTGGGCCATTCTACAGCTTGATTTTCTTTCTCTGAAAGCATCTGAGAGTCTCTTTGGCTGTGTTTTGGATCATTGTTTTGCAGAAATGTTGCCCTGGTTTCCTTTTCATCCTCCTGCTGATGTAGATGTTGGACTGAAGCAGCTAATAATCATTTACACCGAGGAAGGGCAGAGAGTTGCTGAAGAACTAGAGATTTCAGCTGCTGTCTGGGCTTTCACTGCCCTTCTACTCCTTCCTTTCTTCATGTGTTCAATACTTCTTCCCTTTGTCATTTCATTTTATTACACATAACTTCATTTGTAAACTAACTAGATTTCTTTGCATGTATGGATTCTTTTTAGCACCTTTAGAAATATGTTTTCTGAGAAAAATGGTGACATTTTCAATACTTATTTTTCTTTCTATCTATCTATCTATCTATCTATCTATCTATCTATCTATCTATCTATCTATCTATCTATCTATCTGTCTGTCTGTCTGTCTGTCTGTCTGTCTGTCTGTCTGTCTGTCTGTCTGTCTGTCTGTCTATCTATCTATCTATCTCTATCTATCTATCTATCTATCTATCTATCTATCTATCTATCTACTTATCTATCTATCTTCCGCTATTATTTATATATATATATATATATATATATATATATATATATATATATATATATATATATATATATATATATATATATATATATATTAAAAAGTAAGTATTGTGATATATACATTAGCAATGTTTCCATCCAAACTTGCAAGTTTATCTTGTACACAAAATTTGATTACCACAACACACTTTCATGCTTTGAAAGCATGGAAGCAATACAGCTTGAAAAATGTAAGAAACCTAAGCTGCGTCCCAAATCGCATACTTATGATCTATTCTACGCCATTTTGTAGTATAAATAGTGTAAGTAGTGTGTTCACTCTGAAAACTTTAAAAATAATAAGTGCACTTTAATTACCCGGTTGATGCACTCATTCAGCCGCTAAAATGAAGTGTGTAATGATGGACACTTCACGCACTCAACGACTGCAGGTTTGCTGACGTAGCGGAAGGGGCGGAGCTATCGGACGCACATGTTGGATAACTTTATTTATTTTGGATGGTGAGAGCAAAATTCTCCCACGAGAGTGATTATAGCGCCTCCCGATACTCACGGCAGGTATTAATTGATAATTCGGTCGTTTATTTCACTGATTTGGCGACCGTCAAACATCATCAGGGAAACGGTTTGAATTTCCGCTTAGTAAAAAAACATTAGTGTGCCATTTGGGACGCCACTATACTATCCTGTTGAGTGTGGAAGTGCATAAGTACATAGTGCATGAGTGCATAGTGTATAGTGTGCCATTTGGGATGCAGCTCTACAGAAAAATGTAAGAAACCTGTAACCATTGTAGGAAAAACTAATACCATGATCATCAGTGGTTATATGTTTCCGACATTTTTCAAAATATCTTCTTTTGTGTTCAACAGAATAAAGAAATTCAATTTGTTTGTGACAAGTGCTTTAAAGGCCCACAGTGCATCAGGAGGTCCACTATTTTGATGTCAGGAAATAAAAAAGTCAAAAAGAGACTAGTTGTGTTTATATCACTTTGATATGACTGTGGACGCACTATACTACACACAGTTCTGTCCAAACAAAAACGTTGATTTTGCATCATAGGTGCCTTTTAAAGGGATTTTATCAATAGGTGGAAGTGGTAATGTGTCCCTTCTGACGATTGGCATGGAATCATTGAAAATGCAGGTGGAGAAGTGGTTGAATAGCTGTTGTTTGTGCTGTGCAGGTGGTGTTCTCATCCAGCTCTTCAGGCCCTTCAGAGCAGCGTGACTCTCATCAGGTCAGTCCTGCTCCTCAACATTTCACTGTTGCTGATGCTCAAGTGCCCAACACTACCATTCGTTCATTTCTTCATCTAGGTTTCCCAGAGAGTCCAATCATCTCATCGATCTGCCGGGCGACTACAGCGCGTTGATCAACCAGGCCTCCAGCTTCACGTGAGTCTTCAAAGGCGATTAAGAGTCATACACAACATGAATCGACCATTCAATGAACCCTGTTCACAAGACTGTTCGGACATGTTTAGCATCAGCATCTTAAATCCTTGGACGTTTTTAATATTTAGATTTTAAAAAGTGTGAACATTTAAATGTATTTATATATGTATTATCTTAAAAAACAAATGTCTGAGGTGTTTCTAACTTGGAGTCTATGTAGGCAGGACAGTAAATTTTACATTATTCTCACTGTTTTATTCTTCTTTCTGAACAATAACACCATCGTTGAGTTTTTCTTTCATTATTTCTGCAAATTAGATTATACAAAAATGACTTGTCGTACTCTCCCATTCACTGCACTCTTAAGTTTACCCAAGGATGACGACTTCTGCTACTGAGAAACCCAGAAGTGTGAAAAGGTTTCATCAACCAATCAATTGATCATCTGTTGATCCTGGCTCCTAGGTGTCCTAAATCTGGAGGAGATAAGTCTCGCGTTCCTACTCTGTGTCTGGTGTGCGGTGCCATGCTCTGCTCTCAGAGCTACTGCTGTCAGACGGAGCTGGAAGGAGAAGACGTGGGGGCCTGTACTGCACACACTTTCACCTGCGGAGCCGGAGTCGGCATCTTCCTCAGGTCTGTGCGAGGAATAAAGCAAGAGCTGTGCGATTAACTTATGCTGCAATCCAATTTGCATTCTTGTACAACGTCCTAAAAGTAGGTCCTTTTTGTGTAACAAGAGTATGGAAGCTTTGGGATATGCTGCTTCCTCATTCAAATGTCCCTTGAAATTATAATAGTTTTACACGTACACGGGCCATATCAAATCTGCGCCACATGGGAGAAAAAAAAAATCTGAATTGAGTCATGCAGTGTAAATGCGACCTAAAAGACCTGTAATGGTTGTAACTAGGGTTGTAACAATATACCGGTATGACGGTCTACCACGATTTGAACGTGCACGATTATCATACCATGAACAATTGCATATCAACGGTTTTAACCCTTAAAGACCGAGACAGCCGCCCGCGGCTAAAAATAAGTATTGCTCTTAAATGTTTAATAACTTTTGATCCGCTGATCCCATTCATACAATTCAAAGATTGGCATAAAGAAGAGAATCTCAGCTTTCCAGTGCTGTATCACATAACATTCGGACTTAGAGGCTCCGGAATCAGTGCGGTTACATCATCAACATTTGACAACGCTGATTTGACAAAGAAACGCTCGTCACTGTGTCTCCGGACAAACCAGACATGATACATTGATGCATTGTCCCTCCTCCATGCCCAGATTGGTTCAAACTTGCTATATCACAACCAATAAGCATAGGTTTCGCTTTTGTTTGTGGACCAACATGAGCTTTTTGAACAACACGGAATGAGAGATAGGCATACATTTGTGCGCGGCTAAATAAAACGCAAAAAAAAAAAAGTTTTGCATAAAATAATTCTCATACTAAGTACTTTTGCATGCACAGCAGCACAGAAACATGACAAAACAGTGACACAGCAAAGACGAACTGCTGCTCTTGCTGTTTTCAAAAGACGCAAATGAAGGTGCAGCTGTTTGTCTGCATTGCAAACAACCAAATCCAAATCCATATCCACAGACAACCATATCCATGCTGGCACATAAAACCTAAGGATGTTCCATATTGAATCTAGTTTCGTTATTTAACTATTTATAGTATAGTAAATATTTATATCTATTTTTTTACTGAGGATTTGCACCATGTTTATTTGGACTTTATTTGGACTTTAACACATTATTTATTATTTTCTTATTTTTTTATTTGTTCATTGTAAGTGGTGTTGTTTATAGTAACTGAAAATATATTATTTGGAAAAAGTCAAATTTGCTTAACTGTTCTATTATTTTGTAACATTTGTAACATACCGTATACCGCGAAACCGTCAAACCGTGGTATTGTTTTAGACTATTATCATACCGTAAAAAATTCATACCGTTACAACCCTAGTTGTAACAGACAAAGGAGTCCTCCAGGAACATGGTTGAGAAACACTATCAGGGCTCAACAATAAGGACTGCCCGGTGGCCCGGGGCCAGTGTGAGAGACACTTGGGACAGTAGACCGGATCATTACTGGCCCGATTGGGACAGTGCTGCCTTGTCAGTCACTAACTTTTAATTTGTCTGTGACTATTTGTCAATTGCGTGCATTTAAAGCTTGTGCTTTTAAGTCTTAAATGCTTCCTTCTCTGTAATTTTGTAAACAACATATTGCTTTCTGATTCGTCTTATATGATTGATTTAACCATGCTATTTTTTTTTTTTGTTACCTGGTAACAACCAGTACAGTGTAGAAACAGCAACATGTCAGCAACATCAAATTATAAGGCTAAACGAAAATGTCTGTCTCTAGCGTCTTGGAAGTAGACATTTACATGGAAACAACACGATAAAATAAAAATTTAGTGATGTTATGCATAGTTTGCAGTCAGTTTGACAAGTCAGCCAGCTTTTGTTAAATAATTTCAAACCGCAATAAAATACCTCCACATTTTCCATACGGCTGTTTTTGTTTGCATAACACTTATATTTACAATTGTTTTTTAAGTATTGAAATTCTAGATTTACAGACTTTATTTTTGACACATTATTTAAAATATGTGGCTAAAAAATAGCTATTAACTTCCCTTTTTTTTTTTTTTTTTTGGTGGGGCCAGTGAAAATTTTGGCAGGGCAAGTATAAATCTAAACCACTTGCCCGATCGGACCAGTAGAAAAAATCCTTAGCGTTGAACCCTGACTATGCTAAACCTTTTGCATTGCATTTGTCTGCAAGGACTTATTTATATATGTTTGTGTCTCAGGGTGAGGGAAAGTCAGGTCCTGTTCCTGGCTGGCAAAACTAAGGGCTGTTTTTATGCTCCCCCATACCTGGATGACTATGGAGAAACAGACCAAGGGCTAAGGTGCGTGTGTGTCGCTCAAATTTCACACTCATTATGTCTGACTTGCACTTGTGTGACTACTTTTAAATGGACATCAGTAAACAAATCATTTACTTTCATCTGAATAAGGTCATAATATGAGATGTGTATGAGTTGCTTTTAGAACGTTTCTCTTGTGTTCCTTTTTTTAGTTTTAGAAGCAACAAATAATACCTTGCCTTCTAGTTGATTATTTGGTATCAGAAGTGGCTTATATGAAAGGCAAAGGCCTCTAGATTACACTTATTTTACCAGAATAAAATATTATCATGCCTTGATTTTTAATTATTTAATTAGGACAGTAAGGTCTGACTTTGCTTAGACTAAAGTCTTGTTTCTTAACAGAAATAATGTCCAGTGTAGAATATAAAGTCCTGCTGCAGTGGAGACAGAATGAATATTGTGTCTGACTCCATCATGAGCTTGGAGGACTGCATCCATACGTCTCAGCAATGACTCAAATCACTGATTATTAGTCATCTGGAATGGCAAAGAAAGCGTTCTTGTAGGACTCCCAGAGTTCAACAAGATTCTTTGGATTCATCTTCAATGCCTCCTTCATCTTATCCCAGACATGCTTAGTAATGTTCATGTCTGGTGACTGGGCTGGCCAATCCTGGATCAGCTTGACCTTCTTTGCTTTCAGGAGCTTTGATGTGGAGGCTGAAGTATGAGAAGGAGCGCTATCCTGCTGGAGAATTTGCCCTCTCCTGTGGTTTGTGATGTAATGGGCAGCACAAATGTCTTGACACCTCAGGCTATTGATGTTGATCATCCACTCTGCAGATCACTCGCACTCCCCCATACTGAATTTAACCCCAAACCATGATTTTTCCTTCACCAAACTTAACAGATTTCTGTAAGAATCTTGGCTCCATGCGGGTTCCAGTAGGTCTTCTGCAGTATTTGTGATGATTGGGATGCAGCCTAACAGATGATACATCTAAAAAATCCACCTTCTGCCACTTTTCCAAATGATCAACAAGAAGTCAAGTTTTTATTTGTTGCTCTTACAACTGGGATCAACGACAAGACTTTTGTCAAGTAGTGTAGATTGTTAACATAATTACGTCTCCATGCTATCCAGTGTTTTCTCCAGAGGAAACGGACTTCAATTGTAGTTCAGCTGTTTCACTTTCATTTCATTCATGACATCTTATTTTGACACACATTTTGGGAAAATGCTTTGAATATTTTGGAAATTCACAAAAACATACACTCTGGGCAAATTCACTACTCTTTTGTTATGTTTGGGGCTGTTTTTGTCCCATTGACTTTCATTATAATGCCATTTTTTGATCTAAGCATGCATTCTTGATTGTTGCTGGTTTTCCCTGTTGGGAAGAAGTCAAATTTTGTTGTTTTATTTTTTATTAATTAATATTTTATTAAATAAGAAGATTGAAAATGTATAAAAAGGGTAAAATAAGAATAAAAATAAATAAATAAAAAGGTTAATTTTGTAAAATACATTAAGACAATGACAGTTCAACACGTATACATCCTAATGAAAGTGTGAAATATATTATAATAAAGTTTATATATCAAATATATTATAAGGACGCATTACAGCTGAGCAGGACTCTGGAAAATAAACTGTGAAACTCTGACCAATGTAAGGAGGGTTTACTCGCACGTGACTTGTTTTAGCTTTTTTGGTCCGTTTAGAAACTTTGCAGTGTGAGTGAACCGCACCAAGAACAAAAAGCAACATTGTAACAGTTTTAATCCCTGTTTTGGAGCAACTGAATCGATTCACTGGTGTGAAAGCACCCTTCATATGTTTTCAGAAATAAGGCAGGTGGGAAAAGACCAAGAATCAGATTTTAGGGCAGACAAGGACGACTTTTCCAGTAGTTTTAGAGATTACATCCATTAAGCAAGAAAATGATACGTTACTTACCATGATAAGTTTGAAAAATAAAAAATTAGCCCCTCAGCTGTTAGAACATAGTTAATATAGTAAGTGTATTTATGCACGCACACTATAATCTGTGATTTACTCCACCGCACTCCATATAAAAGTCGATAAACCCCTATCTAAAGGGTTAAAAATCAAAACATGGCCACCAGCATACTGAAAGGGTAGTCAGTTTGAACAATAAACATGGGTTAATCATATTAAAATTAAAGTATTGGTGTCTATAGAAATGTTCTGAGTGTTGTGTTTGTCTTCATCAGACGGGGGAACCCATTACACTTGTGCCATGAGCGCTACAGAAAGATCCAGAAGCTGTGGCGTCAGCACAGCATCACGGAGGAGATCGGCCACGCTCAGGAGGCCAATCAGACTTTGGTGGGCATCGACTGGCAGCATCTGTGAACTTGCATTTCTCACATTTACACACAAAGGGGACCCGCACAGCAGGGCCAGAGGCTCCACGCCGTGTCTCTCGCTCTTCCTCCACCCCTTTCTCCATCTTTCTGACAGTGGACGAATGCATGACTTCTCTTTTCTTTTCGTCTTTTGATGGAGACGTCTCCATTTTTTTCGTTTGAATATGAAATAAATACATATTTAAAAAGACATATAGCCAAGGTGTTGAACCGCAACCAATAAGGGTTCCTTATTTGCAACAGATATTCTTCATAGGAATGATATTTAATTTCTTCTCCAACTAATGTTAAATTATTTTGGAGGTAATTATTTCGCTTCCACATATAGGTTTCTTCGCAAGACACTACTCTTATCGCTTTGGGAGTGCTGTCCTTCAAGTAAGCACAAATATCCCTCAAAGCCCAAGCAGGGATAGCGCCACCTGTAGGATACACGCCGCATTCTCTTTGCCCCCTTCATCTCAAAGGCTGCAATACATTATGAGTTAAGGCCACCTAATTAATGTGCTCTGCCAACGCACATGAATATGTCCTTCGAACGCTCGGTTTCTGTTTGTCTGGGTCCTGTATGAGTGAGTTTTTACGTGCCGGTGTGTAGTTGGTATGTTTGTTATACGATGGTTTTTCTAAGGTGGTTCGTTTTTTTATGACTGTTGTTGTTGTGTTGTTGTGAAGCTTATTTATGTGTTTCTGGCAGATGTTTGTTGTGTTTAACTCAAATCTATGGAGTCATGCTTTTCACAAAGTTGAACATGACTTCCATTCTTACACATGATTTTGACGTGTGCCGTGTGGTTATTTTTTTTTCTTGAGACTGCTGCACCTTTTTTTCCGAGCAGTAACGAATGCAGATTTGCATATCCTTAAGTTTTGGTCTCCTTTTTTTCTTTATAGTGGCCTTGGCCTGAGTATTTAGTCCAAACGAAAGCGTAAACATACACACATGCTGCTTTCAGATACAAGTTTTCATGCCTCGCGCAATTCAGAGGAAGGCCCGTTGTTTCTAAAGCGGTGAGCATACTCCCTGAGACAATTCCAGTGGCTGCTGCAGCGTATTACTTCACGAACTGACTTGTTAATATGTGAATTCTTGTATAAATGGGTACAGTGTACTATATTGTAAAACATTAATGAAATAAAAAAGACAAAAAGACTCTTGTGTTGAAGTGCACCGGCGAATGCATGACCCGCTTTTGCTGCTTGCAGATCATCTCAACTCTGCTCCAGTTCTGTGCAAATCTCTTGTTTATCCAGGAAGGCTGCAGTAAAGAGGATTAGATCCAGAGCCACTCTCGCTGACCGCATGCTGTTGCAGACGTTTGCAGGCTTGTTCGCCCAGTAACGATAACCATGTAGGTTATTAGTGTCCACATCGTGTTATAAGCAGCCACTGTAGCTGTGTCTTCTGATGGACTGTCACTTTAAATGTTCATGCTCTTTACAGTAGGAGGGTTGTTTACAGGTTGCAGGTAAACGTTAATAAGGATCTGAAGGCTTTTTACAAGTTGCAATGTCTTATCTACTTAGAAATGTTTATAAAATGCAAACTGCTTTAAAATATGGGTGTTAAATATATATAATATAATATGGAGCAAAGTGTATGTTCAGTTCACATGTTATTTTACTCCTATTGGGGAGAAAAAACGCACTTAATTATTGTTCCTAGTTTTAATATCAGAATAATCTACTGTTTATATTCAGATAAACTGCTTGGAACATTATTCCATTAACATGGTTTGTCTATATATTTTATAGTTATACTTGTATATGTATAAACTGATAATGTATTAGTTGACTTCTTAGTGTATTAGTCATATTTGTCACAGATTTAATGCAAAAGCTATAGTAATGTAGGCTATGCCTGCTCAAAAAAAACAGCTTAAACCAGCATAGGCTGGTCGGCTGGTTTTAGCTGGTTGACCAACCTGGTTTTAGAGGGGTTTCAGACTGGTTTCCAGCTATTTTCAGCCTGGTCTTAGCTGGTCAGTCTGGGAGATGACCAGCCTAAGAGCCCAGCCAAAACCAGCTATGTCCAGCTTAAAACAGGCTGGTCAAGTTGGTTTTAGCTGGTCATTTTCCAGCCAAACCAGTTAAGGCAGGCTGGAAATGGCCTAAAACCATTTAGGCCATTTTTTTAGCTGTTTTTTTTAGCTGTTTTTTTCAGCAGGGATGTTGTATTTTAATGTTTTATTTACTAAATATTCTATATTTAAACCCCACTTCCACAATTTGTTGACTTACATTTTGTTTTATTTCTGTGCATTTATTTAAAGAAGTAATTTTTATTGGAGCTTTGTTAGGGTTAGGTGCATCGGATGGCTCTTCGGAAAGGAAAGGCAAGCTGCAGCTGGTCAAGTCAAGGTAAACTTTCAGTTTGCTATTCACTACATGTGTGGACATTCAGTGGAGCGAAAGCTACGTCTTACTGGTCCACATTAAAAATATTAGTCACAAAATGAAGACGACAACAACAAACGACATTAAAAAAACATAAGCACCGTTTTAGGACCCGAAGTGACCGCCATTTCCGGTTGCGACGCCATCTTGGATCAAGATGATTAAATTTGTTAAGATACATTTTGAATTACTCAAATCTAATGTATAACCTTAACATGTAGTTGTTGACGGATGTAAATTAAATGATTATTGTTGCCCTTCAATGACAAAAAAACACATAGCTTATAATTAACATTATTAACATCAACGTCGACTGGTTGAATTTGTCCCACACGTCAGTGGATCACTTCCGGTGTAAGATATTCGCGGCAAATTTGTGATTTTGTCAATAGTTAAGATTGTTAAAATACAGACTGTAAAGCGGTAGAGATTGAGGTTACGATGTATGAAGATTCTCAGTCGTGCGGTGCTTGTTATCTGCTGCTGCTGTGCAGCTGGTCGAACTTCACCTGAGAAGGTAAGCTGATTACCAGCTCCTATATCCAGCCAGTCACTGTTTATGAAGGAAATGACAGATGACAGACGACCTGTTTAATGCTTGCTACTTGTTTTTACGTTTAATAATCTACATTTTATCTAACATAGTATATAGAAAGAGAATCAACTTCATGTTTAGTTGTGTTCCTCCATTTTTAGGACACTCTCAGGAGCACACAATGTAAATCACCACAGAAAACCTGTTTTATAGTACCCAATAAAATGAACTAACATGTAGATATATTTAAAAATGCTCTTTGTGTGTCGGAAAAGCTGAAAATATGCATCCCATAATATTCTGTCCCTATAAGTGTAACAAAAAAAGCTGAGCGCATCAAATGAACCATGTTTATTCGTAAGTGGCAAGATATCAATAAGCTGCCGCTAGAAAATATTTTCATCGATGATTTTCTTCTTTATTTGCAGTGTGAATGCTTAGGCTACAGTATTCTAAGGACGTGTGTTCATCCGTTCTGAGCAGGACAAAAGCAAAGCCCCATTTAGGGAAATCCATTTCCTTCTCTTCATCCAATCAGGTAAAGCTGGGTCCCGCTGGGCTTCTGCTGTCCAAACATCTCTTACCTGTGACCTGCTCTTCAGCCACTTATTACCTTGGGCTTCTATCACATCTCATATGTAAGTCTTATAACCTTTGAGGTATTTTATATACCATAAAAACCAGCCAATCAGAAACAAAAGCTTTGTCCCAGTTCAGAATTTGCATCCTTCAAAAGCCAGTTGTGTCACTTCATCAAGATGAGGACGTCCCAATCCTAAACTTGAGATTCATTCTTTGTTTCAGTGACAGTGAAGGATACAGTAAATGGATTATTTGCAGCCTAGACCAGTGGTCCTCAACCTTTTTAACACTGAAGACCACTCAATGCTTAACAATTTTACCACGGCCCGAGGGGGTGGAGGGGATTGCTAGGTGACCATCAACAGTTTTCTCAAGGGATTATAAGCTGACAAAACATTGCTGCAGCTCTGATACAGGTTTTAATAAAGGAGAAAATTAAATATCACTGTAGTGTTCTGTGTTTGTCTGAGATAATTAGTCTACCAAAATGTATGCAAAGTGTGAAGCTGATTGGTCCGTTCTTGTCACGTGATTTTTGGTGCGTTCGCTGTATTCTGAAAAGCTTGGATGTTTTTAACTGGGTGCGCCAGGAGGACACGTGTGTCGCCTCTATGTGCACGCAAGCTGTGTGCCTTCATCTGAAGTAATGAACTTGTGCGTGGAAAAGACGCGATATGTCAACAAGGCAGTCTACAGCAGTTGATCTTTAAGTTGTACAGAGATGATGGATTCACCTATTTGTTGACAAATTGGTTGCAGATCCATTCCTTGGCAGCAACTTCTGGGTCAAATTTTGGCTTGCAAGTGACCAAGATGTAACCGAGTGAAAAAGTTTTTTCAAAATAAAAGATCGTTCAGCCTCGGGTAATAAATAATAAATAAAACAGAAGTAATTAATGATTTCTTGTGCGGCTCTGTACCAATTGATCCGTGGTATTGATTTGTGGCTCGGGGGTTGGGGACCACTGGCCTAGACCATCGCAAAACTCATTGTACGATGGGATGTTTTTAAAGAAAATTCAAGAGTATTGCATATCCGTTTTTAACCTACTATATGAATTTTAAAAATACCAACACTTGTAGACATTTCGAAACAAGAAGCTGTTTTACGTATGATTTTATATGTGGTTAATAGTGTTTATTGTGCACATAAGTGAAGTTTTACAAACTAATTTAAAGATATAATTGGTCGCAGCTGGTCTCTCATCTGTAATCAGCTATAATCCAATCAGATTGATCCAAGCCTACATTAAGTAGACTGATTTCACCCTACTACCTTTTCTTTGTTTTTGAAGAATCCCCCCTTCCACCCCATCTTCCTCCTTTTCTTCCTTTTATCAGGGGGAGCTCTCGAGACCTACCTGATCTCAGACCCCCTTATTTGCTTATTGACCAGACCAGAGCCCTGGGCTCAATCATGTCCGAGCTCAGGGTTCTCTCCTGGGACAGCATGCCAATCCTGCCAATAGCATCAATCAATATCTAAGTGTGAACTCTTGAAATGGACTAAGGTAAACGTATTTCGACCAGTAGACCATCCCATTCGTCTTGAGAACTTGGACTTGTTCTTCAAACCTTTTGAATCGGGATGCAGCTAAAAAGTTCAATCGGTTTGGAACAGGGGTGGCCAAATTTTCACCTGGAGGGCCGGTGTTCTGCAAGGTTTAGTTCCAACTCCAATCAGACACACCTTGGCTAGCTAATCAAGCTCTTATTCTGCGGTCACACTAGAGTTTGAGCATGCGAAATTCTGTCATACGGTTTTGCTAAAAGGGATGGGATTAATCTAGATCAGGGGTGTCAAACTCAATTCCTGGAGGGCCGAAGCCCTGCACAGTTTAGTTTCAACCCTGCTCCAACACACTTACCTGTAGGTCTCAAACAAGCCTGAAGGACTCAATTAGTTTGATCAGGTGTGTTTAATTAGGGTTGGAACTAAACTGTGCAGAGCTGCGGCCCTTTTGGAACTGAGTTTGACACCTGTGATCTACATGATTAGACGTTTAAAAAAAAAAAAAAAAGAGTGGTTAGTCCATATTTTACATTTCTGTCCAGAGAGGTCAAGTTTTGATTCTCGATTGGTCTCAAGCAGTCAAGTGATGCGATTTTGCATGTCCGACTTCACCACGCTTGAAGTTTGCAATGCATTGAACTGCGAAACTTGTTGCACAAGCTTGCGTTTTTGGTCTGACGCGTTCCGTGCATATGAATGAAAATCTATGTGGAGAAAAGTCCAGTGTGACCGCAGCTTTACTAGACTTTCTAGAAACCTCCTTGCAGGTCTGTTGAAGCAAGTTCTCCTGGAAACCGGCCCACCAGGACTAAGTTTGGACACCCTGGTTTAGAACAAGGTGATAGCAGCGTTCAATGAATATGCATATATAAAACAAAACAGAATAACACTGAATCTCATTAAATGTATTTATCTCACAAATGGAGTTGACTACATGATCCAAGAATTCCACAAAAACGTATATTACTGCAAAGTCAAATGTACAGAAAGAGGTACCTGTGAAAATTAAAAACTTACAGTAATGATTTGATTAAAAAAAAAAACAAAAGTTGTTGGGTTGTCTGACTTAGGTTAACAAATCACACACACTTGACTACGAGTTGGTACGTATGACAACTTCTGTAACAACTGAAACGATGCAAGTTGAGGCAGAAAGCCTGGTTTCACATTTCGTGAAGCAGATATTTAACCCGAGAACTACACACATCAGTGGTGAATATTCTAAGTTTCCCCCATTGTTACAGAGTTTTGCTGTCCAGTAGATCACCATCAACATGCTTTTGAAAAACGTCAGACAACCTAAGGCCCGTCAAAGGCAGCTTTGTGTAAAAGTCAGGGTGTGCCACTGTTTCCGTCCCTTTAAGGTCTTGGAGGTGACTGAACATTTACAAAAACACATTTCCCTCAGCTGCCGATTCAAAGCTGCCGCGTGACCTCTTCACAAGAAGAACTTGCTTATTTGGTAGAGCCTAATGGCTTTTTGGTGATTATCATGGGAAATAAATGCATGTGTGAGGCCGTCGGGTTAAACATCCACTCAACCACCAACTGGAAAGGGTCAAACATTATACTTCAATAGATGAATTGTTTGGTTGACATGTTAGATATGGCTAACATAAATCCAGGGCATTTTTGAGATATATTTCAGTTTTAAAACAATAAAAAATAAATGTGATAATTTGTATTTACATTGTAGCGTGTACATTCACAAATCAGTTGGTATCTCGTTAAAACGCAGGTGCGTGTGTACCTGTACATTTCAAGAGAGAACATTTTAATCAACCTGTCATGCATTCCTTCTCCCAGAAGCAGGAGTGGCCACAGATATGTTGGGTCGGGAGGGGGGGGACATGGCTCTCTTCGCTTTATGTAGGAGCTGCTTCTGCATCTCCCTCCTCCACCTGACTGCCTTTAAACGGAGACTTGATCTTGGTCATGAGATCTGAAAGTGTCTCCTTCAGACTCTTCTCCAGCAGCCAACCCTCACTTTCGCTCTCGGGATTCTCTGGGTCTGTCAGGGTTTCCAGTGAGGTACTCAGGTACTGCAAGCCGACAGTCACGACAGCCTGCGAAGACATTTCAGAACAATTCAGTTCAAAGTAGAACATCAGAAAGAGCTTTATTGCCAGGTATGTTCACACGTACGAGGAATTTGTTTTGGTGACAGAGCTTCTACAGTGCAACAGAATTACAGAGAACAAAAAACAGATAATTAATATATTTTTAAAACGGAAGTGAGTAGTGAATGCAACTATAAAAACTGACAAGTGTATATAGCACTATATTACCAAATACAACGTTATTTGTGCAACTGTTATGTGCAAATTGGCATGTAAAGTGTGTTGTTAAATAAGTGTACATGTGCATAAAGGTGTATGGCAAGTAGTGATGTTGGTTCCACAATTATTATTATCAGGTATTCATGAGATGGGTTGTCTAAGGGGAAGAAGTTGTTTCTGTGTTGGGCTGTTCTGGTGCGCAGTGCTCTGTAGCGTCGACCAGAAGGTAAAAGTTCAAAGAGGAAGTGTGCTGGGTGTGAGGGGTCCAGAGTGATTTTGGCAGCCCTTTTGCTCGCTCTGGGTAAGTACGGTTCTTGGGGAGTAGGGAGAGTTGTACCAGTGATTCGCTCAGCAGTCCAAACTTTTCAACGTAGTCTTTGGAGGTCGTATTGCCCTCTATGTGCAGATCTATGTGCAGATATGAAGAAATCACTTTCGCGAACGCTCACGCTCAATCTGCCCAGTTGGTGGAATGAACTCCCTAACTGCATCAGAACGGCAGAGTCACTCGCTACTTTCAAGAAACGACTAAAAACCCAACTATTTAGTCTCCACTACACTTCCTAATCTGCAATTGCCTCTCTGAATATCACACTAACTGTACCAAAAAAATAAATAAATAAATACTAATACTACAAATACTTCCCTTCTTAGACTTTACAGACCTGAAACTTGCCTATAGCACTTATTCATTGTTGCTCTTGGTTGTGTAATTTGCTTCCTTGTCCTCATTTGTAAGTCGCTTTGGATAAAAGCGTCTGCTAAATGACTAAATGTAAATGTAAATGTATTTGGTAGCTGAGCTAAACCAGACATTTATTGACGTGCAGATGACTGATTCAATGATGGAGGTGTGAAACTGTTTCGGCAGCTCTTTTGGGAGGTTGAACTTCCTCAGCTGATGAAGAAAGTACAGTCTCTGTTCAGCTTTTTTGACAATGGAGTCAATGTGAGTGTCCCACTTCAGGTCCTGAGAGATAGTGGTGCCCAAAACCTGAATGACTCCACTGTGTGTATCTTTTTATTTGGGTCTCATTTGTCTTTTTGGGGGTTTAAGCCAAGTTAATAAACCTCTGTTAAGTTCCACACATTCTCATTTTCATTGTCGCTGTGTACTTGTAACGTCTTGACCCACTTTTCCAGGAAGTACCCAAGATTCTAGGGCTTATGCCTTTGGTTCAAGCTAAGGTTAACCCTCTTGAACTACTTTTTTCAGATTTGGGGTCATGTCACATTATGCAATCTCTAAGCTCTGTGATATGGATCCATTCATAATAATTGAGTTTACAGTTTGGCACATTTTGTTTTAATTTATCACAAAGTCTTTTCGAATGGAATAATGACCAGCGTGTCTGTTTGAGAGGTTTCATTTACTACACATACCGAATCCTGTGTGACACTTAAAAACTGTTGCATAACTCACAACCCTGTCAAAATTAAAGGTAACCTAAAAGTTGAATATGTGATATGTGTTTTAAATAGAATGTACTTCCCAAAGTTTTACTTATAATAATGGTAACCAATATGTAGGCCCACACGGAATCTGCGTGCACAGAATTCCGCAGAATTTTCGCAGAATTCCGCAGATTTTTAGCCCATTATTAATTCTGTTTTTTAACTTGAGTAAATGTGTAAATTTGAATTTATTCCATTTTTATTCAGTAATGTATTACTTTTTATTTAATATATTAAGGGTTTAGTTAGGATACTCTGCTGGATACTCCCAAAATAATTCAGCAGAAATCTGCAGATTTTTACCAAAATTCTCCGCAGAAATAGCAAAAACCGTCCGCAGATTCCGTCTGGCCCTACTAATATGGTAGCGATTAATAAAACAATCAATACATTTATAAGGCTAAACAATTAGAATTAAAGGTTACCTATCTGCTAAATAACATATGCATACTTTCAACATGTTTGCTAGCAGCCATGTTGGAATATTCTGAATCAGGAAAATATACCAGTTGAATGTTGTTTGTCAACCGTGGTCATGCTAAAACAAATCTAGTCATTCCATCAGCACAAAGTGCTAATCAAATCAAGCGGTTAATTAGGCTGATTCCTTCAGGCCTATTTATATTACTCTTTACGCACCAACTGACCTTATAATCTAGCAGCTCACTTTATAATCTAGCCACAAACTCTTTACCCAGCAAGAGTGTAATCTATTGACTAAGTCACAAGTTTAGCTGTTCAGTTTTGAATGTTCTTGTCCCACCTGCATAATAATGAACAGCAGCACAAAAGCGCCAATACTGTTCATCATGCCCCCATAATAGGACACCAGGGCCTCACGACAACCTCTGGTCCAGACGTTTAGGTCCTCGGTGTGGTGGTCGTAGCTGTAGTGAGCGGAGTTGTTGGTCAGGTGGTGTTGGATGCAGGGCCGAGGGGAGCCAGGGTTGCAGCAGCTGAACGGAACGCTGTCCATTAAGAATTTGCCTTCCACATTGCTCTGGACACGGCTAAGGGGGGGAAAAGGCAGCGTGTTAGGATGCATATAGTTTCAAAGCTGCTTTACAGAAAATGTATGTCTAACGTAGTAATTTGATTATGAGAGATGACTGTCTATGTCCACATAATACCAGTCATGCAGAGGGTTAATGATGATATACAGGCAAAAACGAGCATGCTTGAATGATTGATTGATTCAAATTGATAGAAATTTCAGGCATATGTTTTAAATGCAATAATTAGGCCATATCCCTAGTCGTGATTTCAGGAGTAGAAATTCAACATATCAGAAAATTTGTGTCTCCATTTTGGCTGGAAATTTGGAACTAAGCAGGTATTTCAACCTGGTAATAAACAGAGCACAACTTTAAAATGAGATTTATGAAATTCTGCTTGGGATGATTCATCATCTTAAATGCTGATAGCCCATTAATAGGTCAACACAAGGGGGTTGACTACACGGCTGCGAATAGATTTGTGTTATGATTTGTGGAAAGGGGTAAGCTTTAAAGGACTTTGCCATAAGATCTTGACAGATTATCCGATCCGTGGACCCATTTGCCTCTTTCCCCATTCCCTTTTCAATAAACCCACCAAACCCAATTATCTACTTAGGAATCTCTCAACCAGCATCTTATCTGCTATTCATCTTGCATTCAAAATAAACGTTTTGCTTTGAGACATGAAAATGTATTTCCTTTAGAACGTTTGTGTTGTATTTCACACAGTGTCTAAATTATTCCACAATCGAGTGTTTTCTGTGCTGCACTTTCCTGAAGAGGAGAGTAATATACGTCAGCTGATCACTATCCGCTTAGCTGTCTTACTATCTTAAGCTTAAACTTACTCAGAATCCACTGTAACATCAGCCTTGATTACTTTGTACTAATAAAATTTTAGGTTTGTACCTTTTTGTTTAAGGTTTTTATAACAATTCTCAGATCTTCACAAGGCAAAAGTTGATATTGCTTGGAAATATTCCAGGATTTCTTTCTCTTGGATCCCATCCCACTACCTACCCACTAATCCACCAATTAATATTCAGTGACTTGGTATAAAATAAGTACTTACTCTTTAATTTCATCATTGCTGAAGTCCAAGTAACGGTTGCTAATCCACTGGATCTCAAACCAATCCTTGTAGTTGTTGTTGCCACAGCAGCGGAACTCAATCTGGGTCATATCCAGGGTTCTCTTCATGAAGCACCGTCCTGGTGTGTCGGTGTCTTTGTAATACTTCATTCCATTCTTCAGGCCTTCAGCCAGGGCAAAGTGCAGGGAAATCTGCATCAGGAAACACAGCAGAGCCGTGACAAAGAGGACGATGCAGAAAATCACACATCCACTCATGTAGGCCTTCAGCATAGTTTTCCATTTGGTGAACTTGACTGTGTCAAGGGAATCATGGCACACTTTCCCCCCAAAAGTATTGACACCGCAAGCCACAAGTCCCACCAGAATGAGAAGGTTGGGTACAAAATGGCTCTCGTTGTTATCCATCATCTCGCTTCTTTTGCGCAGCTCGATCTTTAAGAAGATGCCCGTGCTGAAGATGAGGATCCCAGCCATGACAGAAAGCCAGTACAGTAGCCAAAGTCCTTGGGCCAGCTTGACTCGCTTGGCCAAGTCAAATTTTACAGGCATCAAAGCCATGTTTTTAGTTATCTAATGAAATAGGGATATATTCACAACAAGTTAGTTTTCTTCTTAACTATGATTGCCTGCTGTTGTACGATTTGAAGTGTTTTCTTTCCCGATGTTGAAATTCTTGAAGATCTTCAACAGAAATGTTGTAATCCAGAAGCTTAGTTTAGTAATCCGTCATCAAGGATAGTCGCAGAATGTGCTGTAGCATGGATTTCCCTCTTCATACCCATTTTGACCACCCACAATTCAGGTAAGTCCATACTGATGAAAACCAGAGGCCTGTTCCTCTGGAATTTCAGATAAATCCACCCAAATGAACCAACCGGGGGGCTCTGTGGCTTTTCCTGATGGTTCCCTTCCCTGCAAAAGGGGTGGCCGGCTGAGGAGCTGGGAGATTGTAGAATCAGGTTCCTCTACGTCATCCTAAACCCCACTAATCACCGCTGATCTCATTTGTAGATGAGCTGAGGACTCTAAGCCTTTATCTTACACTGTAATTGGTTAGTTACTTTAGCATCAGTTTCCTCTTTTGCCTGTTGGTATCACTGGGCTGTACCTTCGGGTAGTCTAAAGCAATCTTGACCATTAGGCCTTTGTCACAAGAATTGGAAATGACTTTAGTTTGTTGGTTAGTTCCACTACAGGTCTGCGTCTGTGGTATATAAGCTCTTTTCTTGTCTTTTTCTGAAGTTGTTACATAATCTACAAAGAACTACCGTTTAACGTGTTTGTAAGACATGGGTATTCATGCTGTAGATATATTCCAATAATTAATATTCCAATAATTTAATGATATTTACATTTATTCCCAGTGCAGATTTATTTACATCTTGGTGTGATTTGATGAAAGAATATTAACTGTCTGTAGGGATCAAGAACCTGTTAGACTATGACAGAGGAAGATGGTTATCAAATGGGTCTTTACTGCCTAACATCCACCAGCGGTAACTTGACTTTATTTTGATTTACAGCACCTTTATGAATGTCAACAAGACTTACATGTCGGTACTTAGGGTAAGTCAATCACACTACAGTCTGCATCCTCTATGTCAGCAGACACTGATTGCTTGATGAGAGGTTTTTAAAGTATTAGTTAAATTCCAGAATTCAAATTTCTTGGTAGTTTACTCAGCCCCTCGCCATTCAACACATTTCTTTTTGTCTTCCTTTCTTAACAGAATTCCCCCCCCCCCCCCATTTAAAAAAAATATATTTTTATATACTTGAACCATGGTGGCGCAGTGAGTAGCGCTGTCGGCTTACAGCAAGAAGGTCTCTGGTTCGAACCTGGGCTGGGTCAGTTGGCATTTCTATGAGTATGCATGTTCTCCTCTGTGTTCTCTCCCGTGCTCCGGAGAAAGTCCAAAGACATGCAGTACAGGTGAATTGGGTAAGCTAAATTGTCCATAATGTATGTGTATAATGTATGTATGTTTCCCAGTGATGGGTTGCAGCTGGAAGGGAATCCGCTGCATACAACGTATGCTGAAATTTATCGGTTCATTCCGCTGTGGCGACCCCTGATTGATAAAGGGACTAAGCTGAAAAGAAAATGAATGACTGAATATACTTTAACCATAAAAGCTTGTCTTGCACAAGGTCTGGGATGTGCATGTGGGACATTATGCATTACATATTCACATTAAAAGGTCATGCTGCTCTCAGATCCCTGTCAGATCCATGTTCCTGTCACTGCCTTTGAGGGATCTCACTAACTCACTTTCCTTCGGATTATACTCTGTTAATCAGGGGGTGCCACAGCAGAATGAACTGCCAATTTCTTTGGCATATGTTTTATGCAGCGAATGCCACTCCAGCTGCAACCCAGCACTGAGAGTGCATTCATAAACCCCCAATGCTGGGAAACCGAAACACCCATACACTTTCTGCCACACACACACACACACTCAGAAACTATCACCAATTCAGTTTATCCAGTTCACCTATATAGCATGTCTTTGGACCGTGGGGGAAACCAGAACACCCCCACACACAAGGGAAGAACATGCAGACTCCATACAGAAAGGCTTTCTGGGCCAACTGGAAGGGATCAATCCAACTCAATTCCACAAACATGGAGGATCCAGAAATGTGAATGATCAACATATTACCTGTATACTAGGTTTTCCAGAAGGTTTTCATTAGACAATAGTCTGCTAATGTCCATGGATCTGCGTCATTGACCCACTGCCTTGAGTTACACTACTCCAAGGCAGGATCTATCTCTTGTCCATCCTGAAGAAGAAGGGCATGTGCTAGTACATTAAGGAAGCTCTCAAACAAAAAATGATCCAATCCTCCACCTCACTTCTTCATTCTATGGAAAAGGATGGAGGCTTAAGGCCCTATCTTGACAACAAGATCCTTCCTAGACTGTCAAATGACCTGGTCCCCACAACCCTGGAAAAACTTTGAGGAGATCACAACTTTAGAAAGTTGGGCCTGCTGAGTGCTTACAACCTTGTTTGTATTCTTGAAGGCAATGAGTAGAAGACTATTCATTACTCCTGCCAGCCACTATCTGGTGATGCCAAATGGCCTGGTCAACTCCCCGCCTGTCTTCCAGAATATTATGAAACTATATGAGGTGTTTAGGAGTTCGACCCAGGCTAAGGAGGCTCTCCAGAAGCAGTGAGACAACCATCCTATCTGAAAGCAGAGAAGTGAGAGTTCCTTTGCTAAAGCCCTTCTTACACTGTATGATTTCAGCCATGGTTTGGTCATCTCAGACAAATTTGGGAAATTCCAAAAGATTCCTGTAAACCTTGGCAAAAATCTCATGCCTTTGTTTGTTTGTTTGTTTGTTTGTTTGTTTGACAAGTTCACAGACAGTTGCTTAATGCATATTTCCCCTCTGAATAATTTTTTAGCAGAGTCAGAAGATTTCAGACACTTTCTTGCAATGTGACTGATTTTCCTGAGGCTTTCCTTGGCTAGCTGTGAGATATAGTCCCTCCAGCGTGTCGTCTTCCCCGAGGCCTAGGTAGGTGTCCAGGAGGGATCCAAACAGATGCCCAAGCCACCTCACCTGACTTTGCTCGATGTGGATGAGCAACGGCTCTACTGTGAGCTTCTCCTGGATGACAGATCTCCTCATCCTATCTATAAGGTTGCGCCCTGCCACCCTGCGACGCGAACTAATTTCGGCCGCTTATATCTGAGATCTTGTCCCTTTCAGTCGTGACCCAAAGCTCATGACCATAGGTGAGAGTTGGAACGTAGATTGACCGTTCAATCGAGAGCTTTGCTTTTCTGCTCAGCCCCTTCTTTACCACAACAGACCAGTACATCGACCACGTTACTGCTGCCGCTGCACCGATCCGCCTGTCAATCTCATGTTCCATCCTTTCCTCAATTGTGGACAAAACCCTAAGATACTTTAACTCCTCCACATGGAGTAAGGACTTTTCTCCAACCTGGAGATTACTAATAAATACATTTACATTTTAATATGCAAAACATACTTGATGTCATTATTTCTCTGCTTTTATCTACACATTTCAAGTGATTTATGTCTCACCACAGACATACAGTATAATAAAAATAATAAAATAAATCATGCAAGTATTAATTATTAAATAAAGGCAACTGGGGTAAAAAAAAAAGTACTAAATGTAAACATTGTAAGTTTAGCTAAAGCAGCAAATTAAAGGCACAATAGGCTAGCTAAAAACTAGGCTCATCAAGTCTCTTGGCATTAAACGGTTACAGCTATTCAGCTAATCTTCACGTCTGGTGGGGAGCAAATTTTATTTTAGACTAGCTCAAGTTTATGAATCATTGGATTAAACCATTGGCATCTTGCTTTAAAATCTTGCTTTACCATGACCAAGCCATGCATGAAAATCAGCTGCTTGCACAGGGTGCCTTAAAACCATAGAGAGACGCTCTGTCGGCAACAAATGACTCTTAATAACCAGTTCGCCTGATGGAAGCGTTGGTTGAATATATGAAATCATACTACATCTATTGTGTTATTACCTGAAGGAGCGGTGATAGAGCACAACATCGTATCTCTCACGCCTCTATGGTTTCCACCTATGGGTAAATGATTGTTAAACGGGTAATGATGCATAGCACCGGTAATGACAGTACATGACAGGTAAACATGACCAATTTGTTAATCCTATTGTCTAACTCCAAAAGACGTTGTAAGTTTATTATCACCCAGACATGTAATTGACAAATCCTTGTCCTCGGTCATGCCTCCTGTAGGAGCTTATGAACTATGAACACAATCTTTTCTTGTTCCCTCAAAGGCAATCTGTACATTTCGGAAAAGTTGTGTCATTTAGTTGGCCTTATTTATTTTCGTTGTCCTCAACACTTCATAGGAAGATGAAAGCTTCTAGTACAATGCGTCGAGACCAATTTCGCCCCCAAGTCAATCCGATATACTGACAAACCACAATTAGCTCATTTGACAGTTGCCATGAGAAGCAAATCAACTTTCTGTGTTCCTAACTAACCCTATTTGCTGAAGTCGCAAGCTTTTATAATTAGTAGTGAACTTTAAGTCCTTTGCCACTTTGCCTAAGCCCAATCAAATACCTAAACATCCTGGCTCAGAGGCAATAAGTGAAGATTAGGACTTTGGTGGATTGACCCCAAGTCTCTGCTAGGACCTCTTGTAAAGAGCAACTGACCTGTCTTTAGGCTAAGAGTTAATTAGTAGAGTTGTAGTGTTTCTTTTGCAGCTGCATCTATAGGAGAACCCAAGAGGTGCACATCACCCCTGTAATTAGCGTGCGTTGGTCACATGTGACAAGATTATAGGGGCCGATAGGATTTGAGTGACTTACTGTCCGATCCATTTAGAGGAACATGTAGACACTGTATGAGTAGCACGCGATACTTCTACCCCAGCAACTGGGAATGAGGAGCTTGTTCATATTGAGGCTCATGCGTGCATGTGTATTTTTTTTTTTTTATTTGGGGACGTTCTGAGCTCAACATGATATTTATTGTGAATTGTATTTATTTATTTGTTTATTTATTTTTGTCATGTGTTCTCAATTGTATAGTTGCGAAGACTGTGGCAGCTAAGAAGTTCATGTCCAGACCTGTGGCGCATCTACTTGTTCTGAATGATGAGCTTTACTGACACCTTGTGGCAATCTGTCACAATACACCTCAACAGTGACTACCAATATTTTCAGTGGCCTTGATTTGGAAACAGTTTATGCATGCATCATTTATATATATATATATATATATATATATATATATATATATATATATATATATATATATATATATATATATATATATATATATATATATATAACAAAATCTATATATCTTTGAAAGCTGAGTCTAAGATAATTAACTTGCATTGCGAATGATGAATGGGA